TTTTTTTTTTTTTTTTTTTTTTTTTTTTTTTTTTTTTTTTTCAAGCTAGCTATTTTTAATTCACTTTGTTTATAACAAATCTGCGAAGAGGGGCCTCCGGCTATCCTTTGAACGAAAAATGTATAACTAGCTCATTTTTTCAGCTTAAACAGATTTTATTTGGGGATACAACTTTGCCTGACTGGTTCATAAAATTCTACAAAAATGTTGTTAATTTTATGAACATGGAATATTTGTCCACCACTTTAATGCACACTAATGGTGTTTTTTTTTTTTTTTTTTTTTTTTTTTCTGTTCCACTTTTGGCTTGCACCTTTATTCTACACCAATTTGGAGCAGACCTCGCACACGTGTACATAAAGCTCATTTTCCAACGTGGCGAAAAAAAGTGAATCCGACGAAATTAAAAACAAAGCAGGAATAACGTATATATATGTAACAAGCGATATTTAAGTTAAGCGTTGTTTTTCCTTTTTTTTTTTTTTTTGTGACAACAGGGGTGTCTTGCTGTTTCGTTGCATGGCACAGAATTGTAAAACTTGTGAAGTAAAGAAAACACCGAAAGGGCATTTGTGTGATTTTCCTTTTTAGACAGGTCCTACGATATATACATATATATATATTGTCCTTGTAAGAATTTAAAAAAAAAAAAAAAAATCATGCACATTCGCATGTAAACAACCTGTCTGCTGCCTTTTCCAAGCAGAAATAAGCCATACATTTCCGCTTCTACATTTTTCAGTCCTCCTTTCTGCACACACATCACCGCGTGAATCGCAACCCCCTGCGGTCGCCACGATAACTAGAACGAGTAGTATTTCTGCAAAAAGTACAAATTGTTCTTGTCCCTATTTGTGGCCCCAGCTGCGTACAGACAAAAGCATACACACACCCACACGCGCATGTAATACAAGCAAAATTTTCTCCCAAATGAATAACAATTCAGAGGAGAACACCCATCCGAGCACGGAGCGAAGTGACAACTCGGTGGAGAACTACATGCATGGAAGGGGAAGTCCCAGTGGGGACTACATCGATGAAGGGCAGGACAAAGGGGAAGACCAAAATGCCAGGGGGGTGAGGATGCAAGACGGAGTGGGCATAACAGAACTGCCTGACAACCAATTCGTCGGCGCGCAGTACATCCCAGATTTGCACGGGCTAGGGAAAGCGAGACAAGCGCTGCCCTTCAAGGTGAACGAAATGAACATTCCAGGACAGGTATCCCCGTACCACATGCCATCAGATGAGGCGTCCTCAGAGCAAGAAACTTTATATGACGAAAATGGATTGCCTATAAGGACAAATTCGAATGACCAAGAAGGTGACAAAAAATTGTGGTCATGGACAAACGATGGAAAATTAAAACTTTTATGTTCTCAACCAATAATCCCAGTGTCTGTTGTTCAAGGAATACTAAGGAGAGACAAAATTATTTTAATACCACAAGTAGAAGTAACCGATTTTGTTGTCCCAAAAATATATAACCAAAATATAAAGCATGATGTGCCCAAATTAGACATAAAGGTAAAATGCTCCAATGTTGAAATACCAAATGTGAAATACGTAGAGAAGGAAATAATAATTCCAATAATCACAGGGTACACACATAAGTTCATCCCCAAGTGGGACGTCCACGAGGTTCCTAGGCCAGTTGTTAAATACATAGGGGAGCAAAAAATAGTAGAGGTAGAAGTACCCGAAATTAAATATATTGACAAAATTGTAGAAAGAGAAGTAGTGGTAGATACTGTTGAAAAAAGGGTTCCCAAAATTATCGAAATTCCAAAATATGTAGATGAAGTGAAGTATGTCTGGAAGCCTATTGAAAAAATTGTATACATACAAAAGTTGGTCCCCAAATTTGACGTCAACTTGGAATGCCCTCCACCTTTAATCGTTCCCTACCCAGTACAAACGGTCAAGCAGATTCCACCTGTGATGGTCAGGAAGGATGTGAAATTTCCAGATTGTGATTACACTGATTTCAATTCGCCTTGCGGGTCATTGCCTGTCCCTAGAGAGTACGTTGATTATTATACTTCTAGGCAGAAAGCCCAGAAGGGTATTTTCTCCAATTGCTGCGAATCCAATTGTAAGAGTGGGGAAGGTCATGATGAAACCTACTACGATGTGTCTCCCAATTCTGCCATGAGGGTCTCTGAAGAGTCACTCCAGAATGAACTAAATATTTGTAATTCCTCCAACCCGTTTGTCAATACCAGCGCCGACTCGATTTTGAACAAGGGGGACCCAAAGCTCGCCTTTGACGCGGATATGAATACGAAGGTGACTGCAAACGTGGACGTCACTGCATGAGGGAGGGGGAAAGGGGGAGCAGCGGTAAGATCAGGCGAGTCTATGCCCTGCTAGGAGGCCCACGCCCCAGGAGAGTCACCACTTTTTGTGTGGTGGTACAACTTACAAAAATGATTATTAAAGGGAAACAGATTAAAACTTATAAGATAGCCACCTGTAACCTTTTGATTACCGCCCACGGAAGATGTTTTGCCATCCTGTTCCATTCGGACCGTGTCGTACGAGCAATGGGAAGTGTCTTTTGTTTTTTTTTTTATATTATTACCATTTGTTTTTTTTTTTTTGCGACTCCGTTGTTCGCCCTTGCACAGCTAGACAAAGAAGCGGAGTGTTGCAGCTTAATTCGAGAGCGATATAGCCCCTTCCGAATGGAAGCTTGTTTGTCGTGCTTTGCCTTCCTCCACGCAGAGGCAAGCGGAACGTAACCTCAGCCCGCGCAAAAGTGTTTCTTCATTTTTAATCACTCATTTTAAGAAAAAGGGGAAGAGGTGATCGTGCCTGCGCGCGGGCGTACCGTGTCCATGGGGAGCTCTTCCCTTCTCTCGTTATCTTTGCGAGCCGATATCGCATTTAGCGGCCGTTTGTCTTTTCCATTTGTCTATTCAAGGCGACCTGGTGTTTATCCCATTTTAGCAAAACAGGGTGTACCCCTTAACAAATTGGGCCATTTGTCCCTTTTTTTTTTTTTTTATTATTTTTTCTCGCCCAATGATGAGGCAAGTAATAAGTTTTAGTGAAACACAATTTGTACAGCTTGGTTTCAGGGGTGGTTACCGGTCATGCATACGTTTGATAAGCAGTATTGGCGGGCACCCCTTGATGAGCCGTTTTTTTGGTCTACCATTTTGGCTACCACCGTGTCTCACTCCGAAGCACAGCCAAATTAGAATAAAAAAAAAATAACGATAAAAATGAGGCTGCTTATGAGTATAAGGGCCCGTTTTATCACTTCGTTGTCTTGATCGATAGTCTCTTTGTTGTACTTTTTCAGCAAGGCCTTCATTTCTGATAAGGGGGGGGAAAAGGTGGGAGAGTAGCGCCATGGAGAGTACATATATGAGTTAACCACACACGAGGTGAATATTTTTTCGTCCATACAAGTGTATGCATGTGTATATCTATTTATGCACAATATTTCATGTGTTGCTTATGGGAAATTTTACTTTCGTTTTCCTTTTCCAATTCCTTCAACTTTTGCTGCAACTGGACAATGAAGAAAAAGAGCTTGTAGTTGCACTCCTTGTTGTATCTTATGTTTGCTTCATTTTTATCTTCCTGCCTGTGTACAGAATGGCATGTAGAGGGGGCATCGCACCCGGAGGGTGTTAGCCAAAATGGGTCACATGTGTGTGCATACAAATGAGCTTCTTACCCGTTACCGCACTCATTTGTGAAATTAAAAAAGATGAGCTGCGAACAGGTCTACACTACAATGCATTCTTTGCATAACACGGTCATATGTAGACATACATTTAGTTTTTTTTTTTTTTTTTTTTTTTTCTCATTTTTGTAACCTCCTCTTGTTGAAGCAGCTCAACTCGTTGGCAGCCCGGTCATTCAGCTTGGAGCAGTGCAGTGAACACATGTCCATCTTTCCCTTTTTTTTTTTTTTTCCTCATAAAAAGCGCGTACATAGGATGTCCAATTTGTTCAATGTGTGCACTGTTTAGGTACTTTGTACGCCTGCCATTTTAGCCGCTTAACAGGCGCCTTAAAACGCTGCGTCAAGCATTTCTTCCTTTTCCACAATGTGTGCACAAAATGAAAAAAAAAAACGGGAAAAATTGTGTTACGCGAATGGACACCTTTCTCTTTTTTCCCGTGTTGCCGTTAGAGAAAATATTAACGACATGAATGAACCTCTTTTGTCCAACTGCACCATGTCTTCTTGTCCGCCTTTGGGCCTGGTGCCAAAAAGGCACGTCAAAATGGAGCTGCTTCCCACGGGGCGCACACAAGAGTGTACACAGTACGTACATTTGCACATTTGCAATTGCGTGCTTGCAATGTTTCGCCTTTTCTTCCACTTGAGTTTAAACAGACAAAAAAAATAAAAATGGAAGCACACATAAATGAGTCAACCTCCTTGTCATTACTTTTACACCCACCGGTATTTTCAAAAAGGAAGAGGGACGAGTCAGCCACGTTGACGGCGCACATTTGGAGGCTCCTCCTATGTACTTCCCTTTTGAGAGCAAAACATTTTTTCATTAAGAATTGTTTAGTATACGAACAGACGTGGAGCAGTGCTGCCTAGTTCAAAAAAATTGTACAAAAAAAAAAGAAAAAAAAAAAAAAAAGGCAGTTCCCTCTCCCCGCGTGTGCACTTGGGTGAAGGAAAGTGCATTCTTATGATACAAGTAAACAACGGCGACGATGCAGTACAAGGTAAAGTGTCCCTGTCCTTGCTTCTTCTATTCTTAGTGGACATGCTTTTCAAGAAGGCCAAACTGATGCTGGCTATGCGGAGCCCCGCTTAAAAATCAAATGGTTGACAACACCTATTTTGCGTCCCCCCTGTACCATTGCATAATGGGAAAAAATGGGACCCACATCAAGGCGATATTTGAACTCCGAGAGAAACCGTGCCAATTGGGGCAGCCGCTCTGAAGTGGTGACCAAATACAGGGGGAGCTCTCCATTAAGGGGTACGGAAAAACGGTAATGCAAACAAGAAAAATTAATTTTTTCATAAATCCATTCGAAGTGTTTTCTTGTGTTAAAATTTTTGTGGCCAAACCAGTGGACGTGCTTGTCTGGTATTATATATGGCTCGACCGAGTCCGGCGTTCGTTTTTCCTCATCAAATAGGTCGTAAAAAATATTTCCAAATTTATCATCATATATTTTTTTCCTCCAATTGTGCAACACTTGTCCATTTTGTTTTGTAATATGTGGCGAACAATCTAGGAAGCCTATTTTAAATTGCCTGTGTATGTGAGAATACAATGGGGTGTCATAGCAGTCCGTCATCAAAATGGTTACCTCCTTATCATTAACTGTTTTAATATTTCGAAAGTAAGTGGCGACTTTTTCTGGGGAACTGTTATGTACTCTACTGAAGAAGAAAATACATACCATATGAAGAAGAAAACCTATATTTAGGAAAAAAAAAAAAACATTTTTTTTTTTTTTTTTTCTAGTCCCGTCCTGTACATACATCCAACATTTCTGTAACCCCAAACCAGTACATATGGTGATGAAGGGTGTATACCCGATGAGAAGTTTATGCTCCTTATGAACACTAAGTGATAATGATAGGACTTCCAAAAGAGTAGCCACGTACACAATGAGATCTATTCTGTTTATAACTGCATCGACCAGACTTCTTCTTCTTTCCTTTCTTATATTTCTTATCAAATGGAAAAAGGCGTAGTAGGTAAATGGGGTAAAGAGAAGGTATATGGATGGGATGACACAGGAGAGGTAAAAGTGAATGGGGTGCTCCCCGAAGTAACTGTTTTGTCCACTTACAAAATTATATAGAAAAAAATTCACAACGGTAATCGTTATTTTCTTGTAGTAATATGAATCTGCTACCATTCCCAGGAGAAAAAAAATCAGAGTGTATAATATGCCAACTGTGAGCACTTGCTCCATTCGCAGAGCTTCTTCCTTGTGCTCCTTGGCGCTTTTCACCAAGTACAGAAAATATACGCATAGCCAAAATGGGGCGGCGTTCGGTCTTATTAACACACAAAAGGAGCTGCACAACAGGCTCAGCAAAAGATTTCGTATATGTGCGTTTTTTATCTTGTCCACTGCTGTGGTGCCGTTGTGAGGGACACACTGATGGGAGGAGTAATACCCAGTTGTGGAAGCATCATCCTGATTATGTGCCTCGTCCCCTCCAGCATGGTGTGGAGTTCTTCCATTTTCTGCTGCCCCTGCGGGAGTAAACATCCATGCATCATCACTACCGATGATACTGCTGGGAGGGTGGTACTCTTGTGCTAATCTTTCATCACTGCGAAGGACGCCCCTCCGCACAACCGTTGTTCCTCCTGTCGCTTGGTTGCTCTGTTTATCCTTTGCGCTTTCACTCGAACAGGGAATTGTGATTCCCCCCTTGGCGGGAACACCCGAGAGGTAGTTCCTCGAGATAAAGTATACCCCCCATATGTTCAATATGCACTCGAATGACTGAGAGGACGTTCTGCAAATGGTGTAGAAGTGGAACCAGCAGAGGAAGTGGCAAATTAGGACTGCGCACACGGGGGAGATGTTCCCTCTTCCGTTCCCTTCACCACTCACACCGCCACCCACCCCACTGTACAGCTGCGCATACCAAAGCGTAACCAACTTGATCATCCCATAATCGCCTAACGCCGCACAGAGCCCCTGAAAAATCCTTGGGGCGTACAAAACCGCGAGGGGGGTGTCCAACTGTGTGATTTTCAAAACATAAAATAAAATGGCATACGTCAAGGGGTGCACAACAGATCGCAGAGATATACAGGATTCCCACTCCCAGGGTTTATGCCCATAACCGAAAACCCAATAATGTGAAATTTCAATAGACTGAGCATACTCATCTGGAAAGAAGGACGTCTGAACCACTAAGCAGTTAAGCAGCCTGAAAAGGATTAAGTACAAAAGGCACCCCTTCGACTTTGTACACTTCTCTACTACGCCCTGTCCATATTTAAGGAAATCCCCATATATCATTTTTGCACACGCGCCCTCCTCGAAATGAGGGGGTAAAAAAAAGAAAAAAAAAAAACAGGCAGTTCTATATATATTTTCCAATTTTTCCCCTTTTTCCATGTGCGGTGTGTGTACACGAAGGAAAAGTAGCTGCGTTCAGTTTGAAGCTGTTCTACCG